CTCTCCATTGCATGGCAAGCCGTCCATAACTTGCCATAATATGTTAAGACGAAGTGGCGTTTGCGGTGTTTCAACAGCTCAACCGATAGTAGCGGCTAAACAGGATGTTGAGTTAACAGCTGACGCCCTTAAGAATCTAATGCCAACTTTGGATCAGCTAGTGAAAGAGCAACGGCTCAGCGTAGAAAGGGCGAATAAAATTATTGCCGATCGTTTAATGCCTTTGGTGTTGGCAAACTACTTAGGTTTAACAACAATGTCCAGTGGTCATGAGTATTTACAGCCTCAGCAAATGTTTAGTTTTAGTGTCTCACCATTATCGCTGCCAAATAGCACTAGTAATAGCAATAATCAAATGGTAACACCAGCCGTCAGTGGTCCCCTGCTGCAACAACTTAATACTAATATAGGCAGCAATGTGCCAGCTGCGCTAGCTAGTCAAACGCCTGTAATGGGCTTACATTCCAAACAACTGTTAGGCGGTGCTGCCTATCAATTGCCACAATATGCGACGCCCGGTTCTATATATTCAGCAAATAGCAGCGCTTGCCCTTCACCTATTTATGGTAGTTTTAGCGGCTCTTCTTCGCCAAATGCTTACCTAACGGGTACAAACAGTGCCAATGGCGGCGGTGGATCATCTCCTTTACATCAGATAACCAAAGGTATATCTTACCTCAGCACGGGAGGTGGAGGTTCGATAACACGTGGCACCTCAATAGTAAGCGAAATAACAGCGGTTCACAATCAACAGTTAGATCTCTCTATGGACATCAGCTCACCAGAAGATTCTGAGACGCCACAGGGTTCTGTAACACCTCAAAATTGGTTTAATCCGGCTTCTGCTTATTATGATATCAAACCTTTGAATTTATCGCTGGCTCAACCTGTTAGGGTCGTCACCACGCCTCCGACATCGCCTAACTTGTGCATAATACAAGAAGAGAATAGTCATGGACAAATGTGTCATACAATTAGCACTGGAACACCTTACGCGGGATGCACTGGTGGCATTACACCAACACCGACAACTGGAAACGTTAGCGGTGATTCTAGCCCTACACCAAATCAACCCTCACATCCTCAGATATGCTTAACGGACGTGCAAGGAAGCGAAATAACTTTGGTGGCCTTATCTCCTGAAAACAGTCGTGATAGCGATATTGACGCTGCAGAGTTGCAAACAACACCCTTGATGTCTTTGCAAGGTTTGATTATTACCGAGCCCTCGCTGGATATGCCATCGATAACAAGAGGCATTGGTCGTAAAACGAGTTTAGAAAGTGAACAACACAGTACAACGCATACGCAAACTGGTGAGGGTAATAGACGAGGAAGCGATAAATCATTGGGTTTTTCTGATGATTCATTGAGCAATGATTCAAATAATTTATCACCCTGTCAAGAACCTTCCGCTAGTTCAGGTTTTAAGTCTGATTCACATTCCGAAATAGGCGATCCAACTGAGGGGCATTTAACACCCGATTCTCTAAGTGAATTAAGACGCATGTCCGATGAAATGTGTTATGAGGTACCTCTTCCACATGAATGTTCTAATCTAGAAACCAGCCGCATTTTGGAAATAGTTAAGCAAACCATTGATTCCACTATGCCGCCCAAAGGGTTTATTTTGCATAAGAGACAAACAAATGAAGCAATGGATGGAACATGGAACATCTGTAGAGTCGGCGATCAATGGCAGTCGCCCGGACACACGCTTAAGTATTGCTTCAGATTCTTCTCACGTCTGCTCTGTTATGGACACTGGCCAAGCTTTAACCAATTTAAGTCTAGAATATTCCGGTGGTTTACAAATTGAAGTTCAAGTATGTGAAGGCCGAAGTCGTGACAACCAAATAGCAGGTAAAGGTATTAAGCTAAGACGGATATCGGGCGATCAATTCGAATACGGGAAATTATGCCAACAATTGATTAGCAATTTAAGCATGCAACAGGTGGCCGGTTAGCTAGAGTAAGGTTAAAAACAAAATTTTTGGTTTTATGTAATTACAGATTTAACGGAATATTCTGTTGGAAGTAGAGGAGTAACTGTTGTATGTAAATTTCTGTAATATATTTTAGTGAGTTTTTTTTTGGAATTTCAAATTTCTTTTGAAAAATTATGTACAAAAAAAAAATTTGTAAAATTAATGAAAGTCAATAAATAAAAACACTAGAGAAAAATAATTTCAATTATGCTGTAGTTAGTATATATCGACCGTTTAAAAAATGGTCCAAATAAGAATGTTTCACTAATAACATTATTATCTAGTGTATCCGTGTATAAGTGCTAAACAACAGTTCGATAAATCGTACTATTTATAAAGTAATATCGTCAGTTAATCAAGTTTCAATTTGATATATTCTTTTTTTTTCGATAAATCGCATTTCGTTCGTAAATTGTTTAAGTAAAAAAAAAAAGAAAGAACTCTTAACGGTAGCAGATGTTGATCAGGAGCTTGTGGTGCAAATATCTCCTTAGGCTGTCGGGCATTGTTATTAACAAGTTCTTTTAATTTTGCTTTGAATTGGTCAATATGAGAAATTTCGAAAAAGAAAAATTGGTTGCTTTATAAATTAAAAAAATTAAATTTTAAATTTCCCGTGATACCGTCTCAAACATTTCTCTTCTTTTTTTTTTTTTTTTGTATATTTATTTTCGTTGCTCTTTTAATTATCGTGGCAAACGGAGACAGATCTTATGTCGACCAACTCAAGAAGACAACTATTATTATATCAACTTACAATCGTATTAGTATTTTTTAAAATATTTACATAAATTTCGACTTAACTTAAATAAACTAAAATCCTGTCAATGAATAAATACAATAAAAAAATTAAAAATATATTTGCATAATGATTCCTTTATTCGGCGAGCCTACTCTGAATTTTGATGTACATACTCACTCAATATTCTCTCTCTTACTAGCAGTATAAGAATATATGTCAAAGAAAAAAAGTCCTAAAAGACGTTTACTGAAACAATTGTTAATATTAAAATCTTTAAAAAATATCAGGCATTCAATTTTTTAGTTTAATTACAAAAAAAAAAAAATAAAAAGACGCAAAAACCCGAAAGCGTTAGGAAAATCCCATCAGAAATACTAAAAATATACTTTTTCTTCCCCCAATTTTATGATAAAACTTTCATGAACTATAAATGAATTTTTTAAATATTTATAAGAAATTGTGATTTCAATCAACTTATTCGAAACTTGTAAATACACGAACGACTCTTTGCCAATATTATTAACGATTATATTAAAAAGCACAAATCTCTTAAGGAATGTAGCAATTATCATAAATATAAACAAACATTGTAGAAAAATAATTATCAATTATCTGAACTAAGTACGAAAAATATTTGAATATATTACAAAAACTGAACATTCCAAATAAAAAAAAAAGCAAAAAATAAATAAACAAAACTATTTTTTATTTAAATAATATTTAAAATTTAAAATAATTTTTTTCCTTTTATTAGCCTTAAACTAAATATATTTTTATTTTATAAAAATTTTTTTCATGTAGTACTTTTTTAAGTTTGTAAAATAAATTTAAAATTATTTCATATTTCTCGTTCTTAAAAAATATGCACAAAATTTGTTATCTATACTGGATTTCGAAAAAAAAAACCAGGAAGCTTTTAACACCAATTTTCTTATACACTTATGGCATCAAATTCTTATTTTCTATATTAAAAACTTTCCATGGATTTCTATTTAATTAATTCTACTTGATTATACTAACGGGATTACAAATTTTGACAAATACGCTTGTTAAGTTAAGCGAATGTATGAAATTGTAATGTGCTCTTCTCATTGGATGGGGTGTAGCAACCACCTTACACAATAACAAGTTGTTTATTCAGTATTAATACAATCTCAACTAACTTCTTCGAAGAGTAAGAAGCAAACGTTTGTTTAATATTTCTTACTATTATATATTTTATTTTCATTTGTCGGATAGTATTTTGCCGTCTGTTTTGTTTATATTAATCTCATGCGATAAGAAATTGTACAACTCTCTCATTTCAAACTAAATTCACT